GAATCATACTATGTAAGTATATGTGTCTGTTTTTCCTTCCTGGTGAAACTCATCTATATTCATATTTGTAGTTCTGGTCCATTTACTGTCATTTCTCTATGGTGCTCTTATCCACCCATCCTCTTATCCACAGACAGATATGTTTGTTGTTGCAAAATTTCTGTGCAAGAATTTCTACAGTGTATACACCTAGGAATGTAATTGATGGATTGTAGGGTTTGCTCATCTTAACTTTAGGTCATTGATTCACTGATTGATTTCAGGAGAGCTGTACCAATTTATTCCCCCACAAGCAGCATCTAACAGTTCCTGCTATCACACATCTTAGCAACACTTGCTGTTAGCCCAACATTTTGACTCTCCTATGTATATATTACCAGGTGACTTTAGAACCAAATCCTCACATTGGACGTGACTCCACCATATCGGACTTTAGGGATCTGATGCTTGATGCTCAGTAAATGACAGAAAAATTAAATGAATCTAGCCCCAGCCAGTGTGGCTCAGTGATTGAGTGCACACCTATGAATGGTTCGTAGGCTCAATTCCCAGTAGGGTATGTGCAGCCATTCAATGATTCTCTCTCATCATTGATGCTTCCCTCTTTTTCTCCCTCTCCCTTCCTCTCTGAAATCAATAAAAATATATTTTAAAAATGAAATGAATCTAAGTTTTAGGTGTTTGGTAAAATTATGGATTTTTCATATTTTAAATGTTTATCAAATTATTATTCTAATCATTCCTTCTTCTCCTAATTATGTACCCAATATCAACCTATTAACGGTGTATCTGTCCCCAAACTCAAAGGCTACACAGGAAATGTAATGCAACAGTCCATGTGTTGCTCATAGAAGTGGGAAATGTATTATATTTGCTTTACTGCAATCTAATAAAAAACTGTAACATGAATTTTAGAGAAAAAAAAAAAGAATAAAATCTGCAAAATTTTTAACCTAATTTCAGTACTTAACATAGTTCTTACATGTTCCAACATACTTATTTAAAAAAATGGTATAACCGTCCCCCAGTGGCTGTCAACCCCGCTTCTATGTCATGGTGGGCACAGCACTCCTTGAACCTCCATGCCCGTGGCCACTAGACTCAAGAGGCCCACTTTCAACTCCTGCTCTTCCTCCTTCACAGAATAGATGAGGGGATGCGTGGCATCAGTGAAAATGTGTCTACATGCAAGAGGTCTGCAGTAAGCATTGGCTTCTGGGATGACCTTTTCATCCAGCATTTTGTGAGACTGTTTAAAGAAAGGAAGGGCCCTGAAATTAACAGTTATTTTGCTTGAGTCCAGGGCACTGGTCAGCTTGCAAAGGCATTTATACAGGCATGAAATATTTTCAAGGTGACTTTCCAATGACAGTCACAAGAAAGCTACACAGAATCAAATTCAAACCTCTCCTATCAAAACCCATTTCAGAATTACATTCAAAGGACACATTTCAAATCGATGGACTCATGTTGGATTCAAAGAGATGTGCCATAATTGGAGCAAATCTTCAAGATTGACCTTATAGCAGCGGTTCTCAACCTGTGGGTTGCGACCCCTTTGGGGGTCGAACGACCCTTTCACAGGGGTCGCCTAAGACCATCGGAAAACACATGTATAATTACATATTGTTTTTGTGACTAATCACTATGTGTTAATTATGTTCAGTTTGTAACAATGAAAATACGCCCTGCATATTAGATATTTACATTACGATTCATAACAGTAGCAAAATTACAGTTGTGAAGTAGCAAGGAAAATAATTTTATGGTTGGGGGTCACCACAACGTGAGGAACTGTATTAAAGGGTTGCGGCATTAGGAAGGTTGAGAACCACTGCCTTAACTGAAGAGAAAGTAAAGAAAAGTAATATGAATACACAATTGTGACTGCCATCATAACTGAACATGTGCTGGTTTACAAGACTCCGGGGTGGTCTGCAAACCTAATCAAGCAGGAAGCCAACAGTTTGGGACTGCCACAGTCATAAACTATGAACAGGTGAACATGGATGACCAGCTGGGACACCTGCGGAGACAGTAGTGCGGCCTGGCAGGGGTGGAAACCTGCAAGTCCTTAAAGCAGGGGTCCTCAAACTTTTTAAACAGGGGGCCAGTTCACTGTCCCTCAGACCATTGGAGGGCCAGACTATAGTTTAAAAAAAGAACTATGAACAAATTCCTATGCACACTGCACATATCTTATTTTGAAATAAAAAAACAAAATGGGAACACATACAATATTTGTATTTGCATGTGGCCCGCGGGCCGTAGTTTGAGGGCCCCTGCCTTAAAGTCTCAAAAAGAATGGCTCCTGTTGAATGGGTGGGAAACAGCATCAACCATGAATATTCTGGAATTGTGCAGCAGATTACTACAGACCAAAGTCAGCAGAATAGAGCCCCTTGAATCCTGGAAAAAAATGGAGCTTCGAAGCAGTTCATGCAGCATTACTGCCCGTGCTGGGCGACCAGAGGAGGAAGTATGCTAGGTTTGAAGATCAGGGACTAATCCGTTTCGGGCTCATGCTGAGCCAGAAGCTATAGCCACTGGCCTCCCCCGAGTTGGTACACTGAGCTGCCTGAGTGATGGCCAGGCCCCGTCTATCAGCCCATCGCACACTTGAGAAACCTGTCACTAGGGCTGCTGAACCATTTCCTGTTTCTGTTGACTTGTTTAAATAAATCTCATTTGCCAATTGAAAAAATTATGGTATAAATTCTGCTTCTGCCGAAACCGGTTTGGCTCAGTGGATAGAGCGTCGGCCTGCGGACTGAAGGGTCCCAGGTTCGATTCCAGTCAAGGGCATGTACCTTGGTTGCGGGCACATCCCCAGTTGGAGATGTGCAGTAGGCAGCTGATCGATGTTTCTCTCTCATCGATGTTTCTAACTCTCTATCTCTCTCCCTTCCTCTCTGTAAAAAATCAATAAAATATATTTAAAAAAAAAAAAATTCTGCTTCTACAAACTTATTTGTTTGTTTCTACTTAAACTTCCACAATTAGGTTAAAAAATGTTTACAATGTATAGAAACTGTTATTTAGAGCTATATATTGGGTGTGTGTGGGGGGGAGAGGCTGAATGAAAAAAGGTAAAGGGATTAAGCAAAAATATATATATATAACACAGACATAATAGTATGGTGGTAGTCAGTGGATAGAGCGTGGGCCTGCAGACCTAAGGGTCTTGGGTTCGATTCCAGTCAAGAGTACGTACCTTGGTTGCAGGCTCCTCCCAGGCCAGGGCCCTGGTCGGGGCTGGTGCAGGAGGCAACCAATCCATGTATTTCTCTCACATCAATGTTTCTCTCTGTCTTTCCCTCCCTCTTCCGTTCTCCCTAAAAAAATCAATGGAAAAAGTCTTCAGGTGAGAACAAAAATAAATAAATAAATAATACTAAACAAATAAAATAAATCAGAAAAAGAGAGCAATCATTAGCTCAAAATTCAGACCACAAAGTCTGATGTTTGAATTGAAAAAAAAAAAAAGACATCTATTTTTGTTATTGTTAATCCTCACCTGAGGATATTTTTCCAGTGATTTTTTAGAAAGAGTGGAAGGGGGAAGGAGGGACAGAGAGAGAAACATTGATGTGATAGAGACACATGGACTGGTTGCCCCTCTCCCCCCCGCCCCTGTCCAGATGGGGTTGGGGATCAAGCCTGCAACTAAGGTATGTATGTGCCCTTGACCAGAATCGAACCCAGGACTCTTCAGGCTGATGCTCTATCAACTGAGCCAAACTGGCTAGGTTAAGACACCTACTTCAATAACCTATAACCTTTGGTTCCTGGACATCTGCCAATTGGATGTAAGTTTCACTATCCTAAAAGGTAACAAAAGCTCTGACCAGTCTGGCTCAGTGGATGGAGCATTGGCCTGTGGACTGAAGGGTCCCGGGTTCGATTCCGGTCAAGGGCATGTACCTTGGTTGCGGGCACATCCCCAGTAGGAGTGTGCAGGAGGCAGCTGATCGATGTTTCTCTCTCATCGATATTTCTAGCTCTCTATCCCTCTCCCTTCCTCTCTGTAAAAAATCAATAAAATATATTTTTTAAAAAAGGTAACAAAAGAAAGAACAACAGAGTGCGCTTTTTGTACAACTAAATGCATTCCATTTAAAGGACTGCTCTTTATTCTGAGATTGTCATTTCTACCTTTTTAATGTTGAAATGCTCTGCGTTTTAAGAAATGATAATAGATGGTATTTATTTACTTGATAACTTTGTATGACTTCAGATTTTCTGTATGTCTGTGTTTTAATTTTACTGGTCCTTCAAATCTGAATGTTTAAGAATCCTTTCAGAGCCCTTGACTACATCATTTACTATGTATTCCGTGTAAAGCAACCTGGAGCTACTGCCAGGAGGACCGGTGTCCCAGAAGGAAAAGCATACTCATCTCTGGTTAACACCTACTTACTCAATTCTGATTGGGTTTCAGGTGAGGCTCAGTACCCACACTATGGGGAGTGACGTGCAAAGATGAGTAAGGCAGCATTTCGTCCTCACCGGTGTCCGGCTGGGCCTGGTAGCGTGATTACAGTCAAAAAACAACGGAGGAGCGAATGCCTTGGACCTAGCGGTCTGGTGGTTGCTGGAGGAGGTGGAGACCCTGGACCCTGGGAAATGGGAAAGGCAGAGAGCAGGGAAAACCCATGCGAGGGAGCAAAACCTGGAGCCCACTCCTGCGTGAGGAAGACGGGATGGAGGGCGGTGCGGGCGGCTGCGCAGGGAAGAAGGTGCAGCGATGCGCCGGGAAGTCAGTCGGTACCGAGGAGACTCGGCCAGCGACCTAAGCCGAGGTCCGCAGCAGAAGCAACTGCAGGCACCACCCACGGCCTCCCCGCCCGGCTCCACGTGGGCCAGGGGTGGGGCCGGACACGCCCCGCGGGCTCACGCGCCCTATCAGCCGCCTCGGGCCGCAGGACACGCCCCCTGTCTCTTCTGGCTGGAGCTTCGCGACCAGCCCTGAACCGCCCCCGGCGCCTGCGCAGTCCCCGGGCCCCGCCCCCGCTCGCCGGCGGGCCCGCCTCAGCCAAGATGGCGGCGTCCTGTGTGTCCTGCGGTGCCGTGGTTTCCCAGCGGCTCCTTCTCCGGCCAAGGGTTAGCCTGGCCCCGAGGCAGGTCCTCTGGAGAGCCGCGGAGTTGCAGTCGGTTCCCGGGCCCCAGGTAAGGCTGGGCGGAGGGAGTGCCGGGCCTGTAGCGCGAGGATAGGGAGCGGGCCCTGCTGTCGCGCGCGCGGGCCACCCCGCGACCTCGGGTCCCCGGTGCTTGGCCGCGGAGTTGTGAGGTTAGGGACGCGGGCACTGGTCCCGCGGCCTCTCGAGGTGGTTTCTGGTTTCGCGGGGTGTGAGGAGAGTTACCTGGAGCGCCCCCGCCCGCCCGCCGGGTCCCTGCGTGGGTGGGGGCGGTCCCGGCCTCCGCGCGCCCTGCCCCGAGGGAGGAGGCCGGCCCGGGCGGTGAGCGGACCTGGGCTCTCGCCGTGACCGGAGGGCCAGGTGGGGAAGTCTATTCAGGAGGGAACTGGCCCCCGGGCCCTGAGTCGCCCTGTGGGTGAGTGAGGCCGGGCCACGGTAGGTCGCCGAGCCGGGGTGCTGACGGGGAGCCAGCAGGACAGGGCCCCGAAGGCAGACTGTCAGCGCAGAAGAACCCCAATGGATCAGCGCGGACCGAAGAGAAGGCAGCGAGGCGGCGTGGAAAACGGAAAGTGTTTCCGGAAGGAGAGTGCTTAACTTACCAAATGCTGTGAAGTTAAGTACTATGGCCTAAAAACTATGTTGAAAAAGAAGACTATCATTTTTCTATCTTTTTAAATTGCTTTAACCTAAATCAACCCATCTATCCATTCATTTATCCACCAACCTTTCTTTATTTTTCTTATTGGAAAATATTCTGGGAGTTAATTTTTCTTGCATCTCTTTTGAGTATGTCTTTACTGTTATAAACACAAGTATCTAAAAAGGACTAAAGCATACAGAATATTAGAATATTTTTATTCGTTAGCACTTCATGTGTGTGCCATGTGGGGGAGTTGCTAACTTTCCTCCCCTGGGACTCCTGAACCTAGTGGTCTTCTCTGGCCTCTCTGTGTCCTTTAGTCATACACAAACATACATGCATATGTATACTTTTTAAAAACTGGATCTCATTGTATTTTTGCTTCTCTAAACTTACATATATAGTAGAAATCCCTCCAAGTCATTATGGATCTAACTGCTGCCTAATATTCTTGGTGTGAGTGTGTCAGTGTTAATTTAACAATTGATGGGCATTTGCTTTGTTTCCATTTTCTTCCACTAGCAAAGTATTCAGTAAACATCCTGGTACAGTTCTTAGGTACTGACTGATGCTTTTATTTCAGTGGAAGAGAGTTCGAGTTTTGAGGTTATTGCTACAAAGGATGTATACATCTTAAATTTTTTGCAATATATGTTTTTATTGATTTCAAAGAGGAAGAGCGATAAAGATAGAAATATCAGTAATGAGAGGGAATCATTGATTGGCTGCCTCCTGCATGCCCCCTCCTGGGTATTGAGCCTGCAGTCAAACCATGACCTCCTGGTTCATAGGTCAGTGCTCAACCACGGAATCACACTAGCCAGGCTACATCTTAAATTTTAACAGATATTCTTACATAGCTTTCAAAAAGGCTGTAGCAATTCACATTCCATCATTGAACTATGAGTGTGCCCCTTTTTCTATCGACATTAGGTATTACTGTGTTTTCAATAAGATGGGTGACAATTTCTCCTTGTTACTGTAATTCTCATTTCCCTGATTATTCTTGAAATAAAGCCTTCTTAGTCCATATGGAAAATGTTTACTGAGCACTTTACTTGAGCCAGACACTGTGAAATAAATAAAAATCAAACAAATACCAGACAGTATGGACCCTTAGCAATCCCCAGATTCCTAAATACCACCCCATTAGGGGGCAGGCTGGCAAGCCAATCTCCTGCAGCCCCTACCCCTGCCCGGCCCCACCCCAGATCAGCCCCCCTACTCCGATCAGGGGCAGGGACAGCCAGCCAACCACCCATGGCCTCTCCCCCAGGCCATTGGCCCCCATCAGCACCCCCTACCCCATTTGGGGGAGGGGCCCACTGGCCAATTGCCCACTGCTCCTCCCCCCAGCTGGCCCTGCCCTGATCTGACCCTGATCTGCGTGGGCCAGCCAACCAACTTCCCACCATCTCCTTCTCCCAATAGGCTCAGCCCCGATCTGCCCTGATTCGGACAGGGCTAGCCAGACCCCACCCGTGCCACGAATTCATGCATTGGGCCTCTAGCATAATAATAGTAAAGTGCTTCTTGTACAGGATAAATATTTTTTACATTTGTTTAATGTGCTGGTGTATACTAGGTGGTGATATAAACAGTAAATATTGTGGGTCACAGTGAGAAACACTGATACAACAAGGAAAAAGAAACAAGTTTCGTTAAGCAGTGACTTTTGAGTGCTCAATTGGGACCTCACTAGCAGATTTCCTCTTGCATACCAATCTTGTGGCACGCATGTTTCATATTCCAATATATAATTGCAAATATCTCAATGTCCCAAATTTTGGGTGGAGGAGGGAATCTTGTTCGTGAGTGGCTAAACTTTTTGAATTATAAACCCATGATTATCAGGGATCTATATACAGTGTACTGTAAGATTTACAGAGGTAAATACAGGGGAGCACAGAAGTGCAATGCCTAATTCAAAGGAATTGTGATCAATAGAGTGGTGGGCAGCTTCTCAGAGGAGGTGAGAGTAGAGTCTTTAGGAGCAATTAGGAGTTTCATGAAAAAAGAGGTATTCTGTTCTAGGAATGTAATAGGTACACAAGGGACAGAGTTGTACAGAGTCATTGGATTCTCGTAACAACAAATGATTTGTTATATCAATTATAATTGATATAATGGTGAGAGACAGGATTGGAATGTTTGGCATACTATTTTGCTATACTAAGGAAGTTGAAAATTTTTAAAACTCTCTCATATATTAGATTTTTATTTATGTAATAAAAGCCTAAGCGACCGTTACGGTGGAATGACCGGTTGCTATGATGCGCACTGACCAGTAGGGGGCAGGCACTCAGCGCAGGACCTGCCCCCGGTGGTCAGTGCTCTCCCACAGTGGGAGCGCCTCAGCCAGAAGCCGGGCTCACGGCTGGCGAGAGCAGCGAACCTCTCTTGCCTGTGCAGCAGCGTCGAAAAGTGGCGAGCCAAGCAGTAAGGAGCAAGCAGGTGGGCGGTAAGGAGTGAGCAGGCGGGTGGTTAGGAGCAAGCAGGCGAGTGGTTAGGAGCGAGGGGTCCCAGACTGCGAGAGGGATGTCAGCCTGCAGGTGGACATCCCCTAAGGGCTCCCGGACTGCAAGAGGGTGCAGGCTGGGCTGAGGGACTCCTTTCCCCGGTGCACAAGTTTTGTGCACTGGGCCTCTAGTATATTATAAGCAGTTTACAGTCATGGTGTCCTATAAAGGTTACCCATCAGTTCTTAAATCATGTATCAATATAATTTAGGAATGCTAATTTAGCTTTCTATAATATTTATTATTTATAAAAAGAAAAAGCAGTAGACCAATTTCTGTTTTGAAAAATATTACTACAAAATTTTGGTAATATTCCCTCTTACTTTTATTTTCTACTAAGCAATTTCTTAGTGCTTGAACTTTCCATTTTTACTGAGCCAGTATGCTCTTGTTGAATTGATCTGTCTGCCAGAATGATCGATGGCATATGGTTGCTTAGATCTTGTATATTTTGGTTTTATCGTAGAATCATTGCTATCTTTGTCTTAAGTATCTGTTTTTCTCATCTCTCATCTTAGGGCCTCTTGGAGGTTGTAATATCCTATATTTGTACACATTTTCTTTAATCTGTATATGTCCTTTACCTTTTCTTTTATTCCTCAAAGTATTTTTTTGCCTTTTCTATTCAAATTAGCAACAGATTCTTTTTGTTCCATGTTTATCCAATTGAAAAAAATACTTAATACTTCTGTAATACCATTAAGGTAATGTGGCATTTGGCCAAATTTGGGACATCACTGCTTTGTCAGGATGTGTCTGCTTTTTTGGCAACCTGCTGGATTAGAATTACAGTTGCCTGACATACTGATTATCTTTAAAAAGAAACATATCTGTCAAGTTGTATCAATACAGCTCCATGAAAACAAAGTCTGAGGGAAATTCTCTGTCATAGCTTCTCAGATGGAAATAGAACCTGCAGAAAATTTTGTTGGGAGTTGTACTTAGTGGCAAACCAGAATCTCTCCAGGGATTCTTACTGTCCTCAGCTAAAGGTCTAGTCGGTTTGCTTGAAGCCTCATCTTACTTGATGGCTTGTACTGATGAATAATGGATGCCTTTGAATGTAAGTATTTTTTGTGTGAATTCGTTGCTGAAATAATTCACAACATTTAATAAATATATTTAGTAGTCTGGTGCTGATGCTATGATGGCTTTGTAACTTCGTCATAATCTTCAGCAATATGTACAAATGTTTTTTAAAAGATCCTAAAGAAATTGTTTGAAAAATATCAAATTAGGAGCATGTTAAAGAAAAAACCCTCTATGAACAACAATAAACACTTTACAGACCTTTTTAAAGTCTCATTTATGTTAAAAGTACATAAACTACTACCTCATGTCACAAACTTCAGAGAATAGAGAAAGACAAAAAGTAATTTTATATTTTTATTGATTCCAGACAGGGAGAGGCAGAGAGAGAGAGAGAGAGAGAGAGAGAGAGAGAGAGAGAGAGAGAGAGAGAGAGCACGGGAAAAGAAAAGAGAGAGAGAGAGAGAGAGAGAGAAATGTCAATGGTGAGAGAGAATCATTGATCAGCTGCTTCCTGCATGCCTTCTACTGGGGATTGAGCCCAAAACCCAGGAATCAAACCTGGGACCCTGCAGTCCACAGACTGATGCTTTATCCACGGAGCCAAACCAGCCAGGGCAAAAAGTAATTTTAAATCAAGTGAAGAATTGAGTTTTCAAGCCAACAATCAACTCTTTTATTTGAGATGATGCTAAAATGTAGGAACAAAAGAGGAGCAATGTGAAAAAGAGATAAAGAAAAGATAAAGGAATATTTACTCAACAAAATGGAAGTTATTTTAATTACTTAACACTACCGAGAACATTTTTTAAAATGTTGGGTGAGGGAGAGTTCTGTGAAACAGATATGATTAAAATAAACTGTTATGGAAAGAATTTTGAAGATGGACTAATGATATATAGTAAGAAGCTAAAAAACTCAGAATGACTGCAGAATTGGCACTGCAGAGAAAGGGGAAAAACACACACCAAGAAACCAAGGAGTAAATGTTTATAAATCATACAGAATGCAGAAAAAAGGGACAAGAAATAAGACAGAATAATAGATAATTACTGTGATTGAAAAAGGAGATTAAGTAGGTGAAGAGTTCATTGGGTATTTTATTGCTGAAGTTGGTAGAACAAATACATGTAAACATTTTATCAGAGATGTAGATGAAACCAGTAAAATAAAAGCAGGTTATGTACTGTCTAAATTTCCAGATCAAAAGATGAATTTTAAAAAGCACAGACCATATAGCAAAAGAATGAAAACAGGAAGGAAGCATAAAAAATGTAAAGATAAAATAAGATAATAAGACAATGTCTATTAAAGCCCATTTAAATGGGATAATCTCATATTTTTAAAAAACTCATATTGGGCCAAAAGAACAAAAACTAAGATGACTAAATTTAAATAAAAAATATGGGCAATGATATTCAAGGGTAGTGCTAATGGCAGTTTAAAATAGAGTTGCAGTACTGTGACCCAGTAGAACTGAGTTCAGGAGAGAAGTGTTATGTGGGAATGGCACACTTTATAATGCTGAAGGGTACAGTCTGCCTTCAGATAAAACTCTCCTCAACTAAGTAGTGCATTGAGTATACCACTGAAACAAAGGAAATATATAGGAAACAAATATATAACTGGTGAAAAAAATTTGCACATAGTGTAAACCATGTAGATTTCTGTTTCTTTGATATTATTCCCTTGGCTAATATTCAGTATAAATAGCCATATAAGTTCTGTTGTTGTTTTTTTTCCTACTTTTTCCCCCTTGCTCTGTCTACCCTTTACAGCCACTCTTTGGATATGAAGTGTGCAGCCCATCAAACCTATCACTTCTTACCCTATAGACACCTCATGACCTATCTCACAAAAGAAAATAGTGGCCAGAAGATATAAGTAACCTTACTTCTCCACCTGCTCACCCTCACAAACTATTTTGCTTCTTTGCATAGAAGAGATGTTTCTCATTGGAACACTAATGCCTGCCATTTCCCCTGCTTCATGTCCTATGTGATTAACAGACCGCATCTCTAGCGCAGATCTTTCCTGTGTCACACACACACACACACACACACACACACACACACACACACACACACAGAGCCATCTGCCTCCTAGACCCCTCTCCTGAGATGCCCGTAGGCATCTGGAACCCATCATGCCCAAATGGAACACATCCCTTTCCACCCTAATGTTCTTCCTCTAGCATTCATTATGTCAGTGAATGGAGCCATGTTCACTGGAAGACTCCTTTTCTCCTCCTGAGGGTTGTGGTTGGTGATTGGTGGGAGCCATAGTGGATTTGTTTGTATTATGAATGGATTATTTTAGCTATAGACAAAAGCATTTGTCATATTATTTACAACACCAGCAGTGTAATCATCATTTTGGCAATGAACATTTGGAAGAATTAGCTCTACTCTGTGACTGTTATTTTTATTCCCCAAATTCATACCTTTTACCATGTCTCTTGGGGCAGAGAAGCATTTTCACTTTGAGTATGGGAAGTAACTTTCTCCACTGTTCAGAGAAGACAGTGGGATCTAAAGAAAAGCCTGGGAAAAGATGATAAAACTATTGACATAGGGAATTGGGGCTGGTGGCACTTGGCTGTGGGGAGAGGCAGCAGGGGTGTGAAAACAGGCTCTCTATAAAAGGGCAGTCTAACTATATATATACATAAGCCAGTTTGGGTCATGGTTTTCCTCATTGGTAGTAACATTGTGTCTTCATAGAGCATTGTAAGAAAACAGTTGTCTATTCATAACACCAAGAGAAACTGCTCTGTGCTTTCCCAAGGAAAAGTGAACTATAAAGTTTCATGGAATTTTAAATTGCTCTTTCTTACTCATCAAAGAATAATAAGAAACTATTTTATCACTTTAAATTTGTGAGAGTTTGGAACATAATTTTTCTATTAATTGGATATTTTAATATTTGTCCTGAATATTTTTTCCTTTTCTATTGTAACTGTGGTGACAAATGACTATAGAGTTATTTGAATCTCTGATTCTCAAAGGGTTAGGGAATGGATGAGGGAGGGATGGTGCTGGTGGTGTCTCACATCTTTGTCTCTGTTTCTGTCTCGCTCTCTCTTTACCTCCCTCTTTGCCTCCCTTCTTCTCTCTCCCTCCTCCTCCCCCCTTGCACTCTCTCTGAAAAGCAATGGAAAAAATTATCCTACAGTGAGGATTAAAATGTATACATACATATATCACAAGTAGCTGAAGTTGATATGTCAGTATCAAATATGAATGTGAGTAGTATTTTTGTTTTTAATGTGTTGAAATGCTAGTCACTTAAACTACTTTGTAAGCACAGGCTTTAAAAAGAGATTTTTATGTTTATGAAAAGGGAATGAATGAGTTACTAAGTCTAAATATTGCTTAAGAGTGTTTAAAATTGTTGAGGCAAGAATCAGGTTGAGAACCACAGATTAAAGATTTTGAGAAAAGCCAGGACAAGATCTGTTCTAATTCTCTCCAGCAACTGAATGGCCATTTGAAAACATTTTTCAGGTTCTTTTCCTTTGGCCGGGGGGCGGGGGGGGGGGGGGATTCCTATTGCCACAGCATAAAGGATTCACAGCAACAAGTGTGATATCATTACTGATAGTTTAAAAGGATGTGAAAGCCCTTATTTCTACAGAGCATATTGAATCAAATTATTACTAAGAAATTGTCTTTATTTTTAGTGAAGCAGTTTCTTCATTGTGTCAATTTAAAATAAGGACCATGGAATAAAGTTTCAAACTAAGCTAAACCTATTACTTTTAAGGCATTTAAAGATAGGCTGCATTTGTACCCTAAACAAGGTGAGTGCCTATAGTCTAAGGCAGTGGTTCTCAACCTTCTGGCCCTTTAAATACAGTTCCTCATGTTGTGACCCAACCATAAAATTGTTTTCATTGCTACTTCATAACTGTAATGTTGCTACTGTTATGAATCGTCATGTAAATATCTGATATGCAGGATGGTCTTAGGCGACCCCCGTGAAAGGGTCGTTCGACCGCCAAAGGGGTCGCGACCCACAGGTTGAGAACCGCTGGTCTAAGGGTGCATGTCCCTTTACCCCCACTTCTGCTCGTTAGTTCCTGTCTGCTGGTACCTTTGCCTCTTTTTAAGTAAGTGGCACGGTCACTCTTCATTTCGTGTATGTCAAGTATCACAAGTAGCCCTGGCCTGTTTGCTCAGTGGTTAGTGGCCCACAGACCAAAGGATATTTTTTCCATTGCTTTTTAGAGAAAGTGAGAGTGAAGAAGGAAGGGAGGGAGGGAAGGAGGGAGGGAGGAGAGAGAGAGGGGAGGGGAGGGGAGGGGAGGGGAGACACATTGACTGGTTGCCTCCCACCCACACCCAGCCAGGACGAACCATAACCAAGGTAACCGTAACCGAGGTGCCCACACTGAGGTATGTGCCTTTGACCGGAATCGAACCCATGAACAAGTAGCTGAAGTTGATGGATCAGTATCAAATACGGATGTGGGTAGTATTTTTGTTTTTATTGCGTTAAAATGCTAATAATTTAAACTACTTTGTAAGCATAGGCTTTAAAAAACAAGCTTTTGAGCAAGGGACAATTCTGACAGCTTCCTTCACAGGCCTTTTACCTTGTTTGCAGATTCCTGCCAACTGAGTACTATAATAAAGAAGACAACTATTTGAATATCCCATTTTATTTAGAGACAATGGCCTACAGATCATTGTTTAATATAATTTTTTTTTCTTTTCTTTCCACATATATTTTCTGCTAGATATTGAGGCTAAAACATGTCACAGTTGTAACAACCAAGAAAAACGTTAAAGCCTTAAGACGTGAAACCTACACAGTGGATTTTATTAAAAAGCAGATTGAGGAGTTCAACATAGGGAAGAGACATTTAGCCAACATGATGGGAGAAGATCCAGAAACTTTTACGCAAGAGGATATTGATGTAAGTACAGTTGCTCTGTGGAAAAGTAATTGCTGTAAACTTTTAGATGCTGACGGCACTGTTCTTTAGCCGGAGCCCTTTAGGTCTGTGTAAATTTTAATCAAACTGTCAGAATATGGAAAAGTACTTTGCAAGTGGAAACTATGGTTTCAAAGAGAGATTCTACTCTGTATTTGAAGCATAATAAAGTGTGGTGAGTTTTAGATTTCAACTAGAAATGGATGTTTTCCTTGATTTAAGGTCATCGGAGCCACTATGAATGCTTATACAGAGTTTGGAAACATTTATCCTGTAGGTAGTCTGAAATTTAGCTTTCTTACAAAATGATAAAACAAATGGTAATGGAAATAGAGTCAGGTTTATAGGAAATTCCATAAATAAATCTAAGCCCAATGTTTTTTATCAACTTAACTATATATTTGAATTTTTAAAGTAACAGCATGTCCTAAGTGATTTGAGAATAGGTTAGAATGCTAGTCACATGCCATTCTTGAATTATAATCCTGAGAAAAGTAGTAATAATATTATCTTTTTGCTAGACATGCCAAAATAGCTAGCAAAAGAACTTAACAATTTAACAATTTTGAAGATTGTTCTAATTTTATAAAAAGTAACATATGATATCCAATGGTGATCTGTATTTAACAGAATAACATCTTTGTATAAATTTAACATTTTATTTTATTTCAAATATATAATTATTTTAATCATTTTGTGTTTTTAGGCATTTTAGTTTATTTCCCATCTTTTTGTATGCCTTTCTTAATTATTTGTAAATGGTACTTCAGTATCTTTCTGAGGCACCAGACCAACATGTTTGACTAAGCTAGAGGGATTTCTTATTGCCCTTGTAGGTCCAGGTGACTTAGAGTTATGGACCTCTTAGCTGCTGTCCTGTTTTTTGAATTTTATGGTAATCTGGACAGTATTTAGGGATATTGAGAAACCTGTATTTTTATAAGAGTGATTTTAATCAAAGGGTCGTGCTCCATTTTTAGAAGAGGAAACTGAGGCACAAAAAATAAGCATCGTATTTAAATATCTAAGTATGGATAAAGGGGAAACACTTAAAACTTCAAACCGTGAACCTTCTATTCTTCCTTCATATCTGCCTCATTTCATAGATAATGGATAGCTGACAGTATCCAGATGTATTACGTAATTTTTAGCTACATACTCAAAATATGATTTTCAAGAAGAAAGGGGCAACTTTCAACAATAAAGATTTATTTTTAAAAAGGGGCAAAAAGTAACTAGTGTTTGTATACTCAAAAATTTTTTAATTTTTAAAGAAGAATTAAAGGACCAAAAACTAAATAAGGTCTTCTTCTGCCTTTAATAACATGTGTCCTTCTAAAAGATAAGGGAATAATGAGCATCTTAGCATGGTAGTAATGCTACAGAATTATGTTTTTCAAAGAGAAATACACTTCCGTATCTCTGCGCCTCTAGATATTCTCTCTTGAGCTAACTTTTGCTGTTTACTTGTTTTTTGTGTGTGTGTGTGTTTTTTTTGTTTGGTGGCTGCTTTATCAAGACATACTTCACATACCATCTCAAGGTGTACTTCACTGGTTTTTAGTCTGTCTACAGAGGTCTACAGCCATTACCACAGTCTAAGTATAGACCGTTTTCATCACCCTATAACAAAACTTTGTAACCTGTAGCAACCACTTTTCAACTTCCTCCATTCCTCTCAGCTCTGGGCAACTAATTTCTACTTTATATCTTTATAGATTTGCCTACTCTGGACATTTCATATAAACAAAATCATATAATTCTTGGTCTTTGGTGCTTGGCTTCTTTCATTTAGCATATTGTTTTCAGTATTTATCTATGTTTTATCATGTGTCAGTTATGCATTCCTATTCATTGCCAAATACTTTTCCATTGTCTGGATATACTACATTTCTTTTAAATCCAGTCATCAGTTGATGTGCATTTGGATTGTTTCAAATTTTGGCTATTTTAAATTATGCTGCTATAAACATGTGTAAAAGTTTTTGTGGCGGTCACATGTCAGTTCTCTTGGGTATGTACCTAGAAACCATTGCTAATTCAAAGTCATGAAGATTTACACATGTTTTTTTCTGAGAGGCTTATAGTTTTAGTTTCTCACCTGAGTCTTTGGTTCATTTGGGGTAATTTTTATATGTAGTATGGGATAGGGGTCCAGTGTTACTCTTTTACATGAGGCTATCCAGTTGTCCAGTGGCATTTGTTGAAAAGACTGTTGTTTTGCCCTTGAATTGTTTCGTCACCCTTAATGAAAATCACTTAGCTGTAAATATAACGGTTTACTTGTGAACTCGCAGTTATATTTTATTGATATGTATGTTTATAGTTACACCAGTTTTCACTCTCTTGATTACTGTAGCTTTGTAATAAATTTTGAAATTGGGAATAGGAAGTACTCCTACTTTCCTCATCTGTTTCAAGAACATTTTGGCTATTCTGTGCCCCTTGAATTTCCTTAAGAATTTTAGGATGAGTTTGTCAGTTTCTGTAAAGAGCCAGCTAGTATTTTTAAAGAGATTGTGTTGAATCTCTAGGTCAGTGATGGCGAACCTTTTGAGCTCGGTGTGTCAGCATTTTGAAAAACCCTAACTTAACTCCGGTGCCGTGTCACATATAGAAATTTTTTGATATTTGCAACCATAGTAAAACAAAGACATATTTTTGATGTTTGTTTTATATATTTAAATGCTATTTAACAAAGAAAAATCAACTAAAAAAATGATTTCTCGTGTCACCTCTCGTGTGATAGGTTCGCCATCACTGCAGATCAATTTTGGGAGTATTGCCATCCTAATATTATCTTCTGATCTGTAAACATGGATGTCTTTCAGTTTATTTAGATGTTTAATATCTTTCAGTGATATTTTAAGTTTCCAGAGTTTAAGTTTGGCATTGTTTTTTTAATGCTTAAATTAAAATCATTAATTTCTTTTTTAAAATTTTAAGTGGAATTGTTTTCTTTCTTTTCTTTCTTTTAAATTTATTTTATTGATTTTTTACAGAGAGGAAGAGAGAGGGATAGAGAGTTAGAAACATCCATGAGAGAGAAACAGCAATCAGCTGCTTCCTACACACCCCCTACTGGGGATGTGCCCGCAACCATGGTACATACCCCTGACCGGAATTGAACCTGGGGCCCTTCAGTCTGCAGGCCAACACTCTATCCACTGAGCCAAACCAGTTAGGGCTCTTTTTGGATTCTTTATTGCAAGTGATTGAAATACAATTAATTTTTGAATATCGGTCTTGAATCTTTCAACGTTGCTGAATTCATTTACTAATTCTTATAGTTTTTTAGTGGATTCCTTAGGATTTTATGTGTTCAAAATGTCACCTGCAAATAGAAATAGGTATAGTTTTCTTTCTTTTCAGTCTGGATGCCTAATTGCCCTGGCCAGCATCTCCAACAATGTTGAGTAGACATGGTGAGAGTGGACATCCTCATCTTGTTCTGATCTTAGGGGAAAGCTTCCAGTTTTCACCATTAAATATTATGTGCCAGGGGTTTTTTTGTAGATGCTCTTTATCAGATACAGGAAATTCCTTCCATATCTAGTTTGTTGAACATATTTATCATAGGAGGATGTGGAATATTGCCAAATGCTTTTTCTGCTTTTATTGAGATGATCATTTCTTTTATTGGTATGGTATATCATGTTAATTGATTTTTTCTTTATCTTTATTAAATTGAAATAGTATCAATTACTTTCATATTGTTAGTATTGAAGAGACAAGCAAGCCCCCCCAAAAGCTTATGACATAACAAATCATAGAGTCAGTCATAAAGCACAGTCTTATGTTGTTACCTATAGATTTGTTCTAGGAATGATAGAAGCAAATCTAGATTTTTGTTTGTTTTTTAACATTGCTCAATGAAACATTACTTATTAATAGTAAAACTTCTAATAGGACCTAACACAAAGTATAGGATGTCAGTTAAGGTTCATAAGAATCATATTTTATTCTGAATCAAACTTTTTGCTCATATACGTATATTAGACATTTTATTCATAAACATGTAAGGATTTTTTAACAAGAAGATTTTTAGATTAGATTTTTTAAAATGTATTTGGGGTTATATAAACTTCAGGTGCACAATTTATAATATGGCATCTGCATACTCCATTGTGTGCTCACTATATGATGTCTGTCACCATATATTTGACTGCCTTTACCTTCTTTTCTTTTTTATTCTGTATCAAACTTAATTAATACTTTAAAACAGTGATTTTCCACAAGAATTTTTAAAGCCTATGATATCTGACTATTTAGTCAGGGGCACTGACTTTTTCCTTTAGATTGTTAAAAAAAAATGACAACAGCCAACACAACAATAGCTGTCCGATGTGAAAGAATCAAAATTATACCTTTTTTTTTCTGTCAGATTGGCAAAAAATATAATATGGTTTTTGGTGTGCCACACAATGTTAGTAATTAGTTTACTAGTATGTGTGCTATGATATAAAAATGGTTGAAAATCGCTGCTTTAAAGAATACAGGTTATTTGGGTTTTTGGTGGGTTTTTTTTTTACGTTGATTGATTTGGGTGTTTAACTCTGTGTTCCTGGAATAAACCCCAGTCTGTCAATGTGGATAATAATTTTTTATGTGTTTCTGGATTAGGCTTGCTAGCATTTTGCTAAGTTTTACTTCTAATTGATACTGGTCGGTAGTTTTAATGTCTTTGTCTGATTTTGACATCAGGGTAATATTGGCCTCATAGAATGAGTTGGGAAATGATCTCTTCCATTTTTAGAAGAGTTTGTGAAGAATTGGTAGTAATTCTTTAAATATCTGGTTGAATTAATTAGTGAAGCTATCTGGACCTGGCAGTTTTGTAGGGAGGATAAAACTGGTTTTAAAGTTACTTTTAAAATTAGTTTGCTTTTTTTTTTTTTAAACCCGAGGATATGTTTTTATTAAATTTAGAGAGAGATGAAGAGAGGGGGAGAGAGGGGAAAACATCGATTGGTTGCCTTTCA